AAGGCAGTTAATACTTTGGACTCATGCAGCTGAGCAGCCCCAGAGCTGCCTGGGAGACCTTTCCAGCTCTGCTAATTCTTCTACTCTTGAATTCCCACTGGGAGCGAACTGCAGTATCCTTGAAGGTTCAGTGTTCTCCAGCGTCCAGCTAAGGACAGCCCCACCCCCATCCCTGGGCAGCATGGTCACCTCTTCATCATAAAGTATTGGGCATAAAGAAGGCTTGAGGTGCTTGGGAGCCTCTCTGTGGTCTTTGAACAAATGCCGGGCTCTTACAGTAATATGAGACTGTGTGATTGCCTGTGTTGAGCTGAGACTTGGAATGTTAGCACGATGAGACCCTGGAAGCCTGCAGGGCTCAGAGTGGCCATCCGTGTGGGCTTGGAATGTCAGCCCTAGATACTGGGGTTTCAGCCGTCTGCAATGTGTCCAGAGCCTGCTGGGATGTTGTCATCAGCTTGGAGACCAGCTGGTTCTGGGCCCAGCTTTAGGAGATGTAACAGAGAGAGGATGCCTCAGAGAAGGAGCCGTGCAAAGAATCCCCTATAGGCAAAATGCCCTCTCTCTCCAGAACTAAAAGAATGAATGCACTGTCTTTTCAAGGACTCGTGTCTCCTTAGAGAGTCTACTGATAGATTTTTGTCTTTTATATTTATTTATTTATTTTTTATGTGCATGACTGCCTTGCCTTTGTGGAGGCTTGAATTAGAATGGCCCCCATAGGCTCATATATTTGAATGCTTGATCCCCAGATGGTGGAACTGTTTGGGAAGGATTACAAGGAGGTGTGTCCGTGGCGACACACTTTGAGGTTTCAGAAGACTGCCACCATTCCCAGTGTCTCTCTCTACCCTCTGCTTGCAGACTGAGATGTGAAATCTCAGTTCCTGCCACCATGCTTTGCTCCACCATCATGGACTTTAACCGTCTGAAGCCTGAAGCCCAATTAAACACATCTTTTTATAAGTTGCCTTATTCATGGTGTTTCATCACATTGATAGAAGGGTAACTAATACAGCCGGCATGTATATATCTGTACCATCTGTGTGCCTGGCACCTGCAGAGGCCAGAAGAAGCTGTCGGATCCCCCAGGCATGGGGTTGTAGACAGTTGTGGACCACCATGTGGGTAACTAAGAGCAGAACTCAGGTCCTTTGCAAGGGCAGCAAATGCTCTTAACTGCTGAGCAATCTCCCCAGCCTCCCGACTGATCTATTTGAAAACAATTTCTGTGACTGTAGAGAAGACAAATCCAGTCTGAGTTGTATTTTTTTTTTCTTTTTAGAAATACAGGAGCTAACTATAAAAAGTAAGAGTGAGAGCTGGAGTGAACGCCGATGGGAAACAGGTTTTTGGCATGATGGTTGAGTTTAGGGAGCTCTTGCTTATGGAAGCCTTACACAGCAGAATGCTTGCATGCCTTCCTTTGATAAATATACAATCCAAATAAAAATAAAATTTCCATTTTGCACCAACTGTAACTTATGCTTCGGGAAAGAAAAGAAAGACACTAACTCATCACTCTTTTCCTCTCTTTCTTAAAAATTTTTGGGTTTTTTTTTTCTTTTTTCGTTTTGGTTTTTCGAGACAGGGTTTCTCTGTGGTTTTGGAGCCTGTCCTTCACAACAGATTTTCTGTGTAGCTTTGTCTGTCCTGGAACTCACTCTGTAGACCAGGCTGGCCTTGAACTCAGAGACCTACCTACCTCTTTCTCCCACGTGCTGGGATTAAAGTTGTGTGCTACCAATTCCAACTCCTTCTTTTTAAAAAAGTTTTAAAAAATTCTCTCTCAACCTTTGTTTTTTTTCCCCTCTGCTCTTCCTGGAATGATACGTGCTGAAATGTCTTTACTGTCAGGCTTGTGGTGTTGATGGACAGCCCATTTCTGGTTCTCAGTTCCTGAAAACATGCACGGAATGTCCTTTCTCTCCCTGACCAGAGCAAGCTACGCAGCAAAATCAGTTCTGAGTTACCGTCACTCAGCACGATGGAGGGGCTTTATCACATTTCCCTTTAGAAGTGGGGGGAGGCATCAGAGGTCACAGGGTCCGGCAGGCCACACGATGTAGGAGACCCGTGGTGCGGTAATCCTGTTGGGGAAAGAGTCCCCGACTGTGATCACGTGAAGTCCATAGTGGGAATTTTCGGTTCTGACAGCCAGTTCTAGCTGACTCAGTGCTGATCCAGGATGGTGTGGTTTGAATGATAAATGTCCCCTATAGACTAATGTATTTGAATACTTGGGTCCCTGACTGATGGTGCTGTTTGGGGAGGGTATGGAACCTTTAGGACATAGAACCTTGCTGGAGGAAGCCCATCATGTACGGTAGACTTTGTGGTTTTATCGCCCTACTTCCTGTATGTGGATGAAATGGGATTGGCCCTTCCTACCATTGTGGACTCTCCCTCTGGAACCCTAAGCTAAAATAAACTCATCCCGTAAGTTGCTTCTAGCCACGATATTTTATTACAACAACAGAGAAACAACGAATATAGGCTTTTGCATGTGGAGAGAATTCTGAATCTCCGCAGATAATTCAGAGAAATCCAGAGCTTCTCCCCGTGGCAGCCCTGCGTGGATTGGCCACCCCAAACCTCCTCTGAGTGATTTCTTCTCGGAGCCAAACACACCCTTTTCTTGTTTGCTCACTTCTGGACCCTTCAACACCCTTGCTACAGTTCCTACCAGATGCATCCAGAACCAAACACGCCATCATGTATGAATTTGTCAATGCGGACTTCAGGGACTCTGTGACCCCCATTCTTCTGCCTCACTTAAACCCGTAGTGAATCACACTCATTCAGAGTCATGTAAAGTAAGTGTTTTAAGTGTGCCCTGGGAAGCTGGTAGCCCACATCCTGTTCATGGGGAGGACATCATTCCAACACCAGTGTCTGGTTTACATTTATCCCAGGACTTTCTTCTTAAGGGTTTTGGCCCAAAGGCTCCCTCTGTTTTTACTGGTTTCTTATGATTGAATGTTTGGCTACCAACTACAAATTGCTCACATTATAATAATTTCATTATCTAATTCTCAAGAAAAATTTGGATCCTCTGGGCTCTGAGATACAGCCCCTGGAAAGCACCCTGGCTCCCTGAGTGTGACAATGCAAGAGGCTCCAGGTAGGTCCCTTGAGGTAGCCCAGGGAGGATGCTTATCTACCTCACAGCCTATGAGTCTGGGACAGTGTGGAGAAACCCGGGCTGTCTCATCCACACACCTTTTGGAGAATGAACTCAAGTGAGTCCAGGGAGACGGAACAGGTGCTTGGGCAGATTCCACAATGGGCAAAGAGCAGGGAACTCCGGAAGGCAGGGGTCCCTGCTTCATGACTTGGCATTGATGCTAGCTGTCAGCAGCTGGGCACTGTGGGGACCCACGTGACAATTAGTGTCCCATTTGTCAGGAGCTGTCAACTCTGAAAAGTAATAGCAATGGCTGACCTTTGGGATGCCCGACCATGTTTTTAAAGATTCCCTTGAGTCAGGGAAGCCAAAACTAGGAACCTGGTTTTAGGGACTGTGAAACCTGTGTTCCAAGAGGTTCCATGACTTAATCCACAGCCACAGAGCCGGGGGACTGCCTGGCTAGAGACCTTGTCTTCTCTTCACAGGGCCCCTCTGAAGGATGCAGCTCATGAAGTCCATAACAAGGGTTGGCTTCTACTTCCTCTGGGCCCATTTCTGAGCTATGCCCTCCACTTCCTGCCCCTTATACAATCACTGCTTTTTTTCTTCCTATAACACCATGCCCTGCAGGAGCTGCCTCTGGGGACAGTCCGTGAGGTGGTCACTGAAAATGACTAGGACTTTTCGGAGTCAGCGAGCATTGGCAACCGCACACTTATTTACAAACCTTCTGAGTGCTGCGGTCCAGATCCACCACGTGACCTAACCGCTCAAGGCTCAGACCAGTTTTGGAAGGAGGGGCGACGTTTCTCTGATCTCCTCTCACTCTGCCCAGCACTCTCGTCTGATTGCGTCCTTAACATCTGGTTGGATCTCCTTTTAATCTCTTTTACTTGTATCTTATTTTAGCGTGTGTTTATGTACGCATGCGTGTCTGAGTGTACACATTTACAAATGTATGTGGGGAACTCAAGTCAACCTTGGAAGTCATTTCTAAGGAGCCTCCTCTGTCTTGGGAACTTTATACAGAGTCCCTTACTTGCCTGGAACTCACCAGGTAGGCTAGGGTGGCTGGCCACTGAGCCCAGTCATCCTCCTGCCTCCACCCCCAGCACTGGGGAGCGCGGCATAGCGTGTGCCGCCACACCCATTTTTTTTTTAAATGTGTGCAAGTCCTCCTGCTTGAGATGTCAGGGCCAACAGACGCAGTTATCTCCTGGACGGTGCAGCTCTTTTTACAAAGCAATTGTTTGCGCTGCTGTTTCCCGTTCTTAGAGGTGCGGGCCGTCAGGCTCCCAGACGGCTGGCTGGCTTCTTAGTCTTGTCTCTTGCTCTTCTGCAGTTTTTGGGCTCCACAGATACTGGCTTTGTTGCCGAGTCGTCTTGAACTTGACTTTGGGAAGTTCTCTCAGAGCCCCCAGACATTATTCTAAATAGCTCCAGTGTGAGTGTCCAAGTCCTTTGGGAGTGGATATGACTTCAGGAAATGCCAAATTTGCTGAATGAATGAATTGAGAAATGCCAGTTCTGCCTTACAATGCATTAAAAAATCTGGTTTCCTCGGGTGTGTCATAAGCCAGACCTAGCTGCCATTTTCCCAGAAGTTGTCCAAAAAGTATTTTTGTGGAGCGCTTTTAGAACAGGCACTGGATCCCAAAGCCAATGCTGATTTGCTCTTCTGGCTGGGGCTGGAAGCTCGGTGTATAGCTGTAATTCAGACAGTGGCCACAAGAGGGCGAGCATAGCATAGTCCAGACTCCGTCTAGCTGTTGCTCTAAGAACTTTTTTTTTTTTTTAAGACTGGAGGTTGGAGCAGCTCCCACCCAGTCAGTACCTAGCAGAGCTGCGGGAGCCTCCACAGAACATCTCCGGATTGCTTTCTGAGGCTGACTGCTGAACCAGGTGCAGACCCTTCACTCAGCCACCAGGTTGAACTGCTTCTCCTACAGAAGTGACCCTGTGGCCCTGACCTGAGATAAGTCACTAGGTGACCCCCGCAAGCCTCTTTCTATGACTCCATCTGGATTTGGCTGGCTGTGGGGACAAGCTTCAAGAGACTGCCTGGGTCTCCGTGGGACAGCAGTCAACTTTCTGGCTATCATGGCAATTGCTGGGAACTGAAGGCGCGGACTCCAGCCTCCACACAGGCACACAGGTGAGTCATGTCGCTTTGACCTGGAAGCTACGGGGTGGTAAAGCTGCAAAGGCAGTGGAGGGAATGATGATCTGATGAAGCAGAGGACTGGGAGGTCTTGCAGACACAGAACCTAGCATTGCCTGCTTCAGGTGGGAGAAGTCCAGTGATCTGAGCCTGTAGACACCTGGGCCCGAGGACCCAGCTGCTAAGGATGTAGAACATGAGCCTGCACTCTGATGCCAGAGAGATACTATTATTTCAATTTCATTTCTGTTTATCTTATCATGTCATAGCCTCCCAGAGCCTATTCAGTGAGTAAATGGTCAGGGGACAGCCACTCTGTGTGTGTGTATGTTATGTGTGTGTTGAATATATGGATGCATGTGTATGCGTGTGTATATATATATGATGTGTATATATGTATGTGTGTATATATATGTATCTATGTACACACATGTGACACACGCACACATATATACACACATATACACACCAGGGTACTATGTATGATGCAGAGGTTATTGAAGGAGCATCTGCTCCTCTCCAGCTGTGAGTTAGGATCCAGAGAACTGAGTACTTAGAAGAAGGAAGGGTTTAAGATCTACCTAGCAGCTTTTTCTCAGAGGCTACATTTTCAGTGACCTTGTTTGGTTTAAGTAAGTTTTAGAAACTTGGCAATCCAAAGAAAAGCTGTAAGCCCTGCCGAGTTAGAAGCCAGAGCACACAGAAACTAGTTCCGAGTTGCAAGTGAGGCTCCTGATCCATCTTGACCCTTCTGGTGCTCCCAGTGAAACTTCCAGAACCGGGGTCCTAATCTCAGTCCTATGCCACATTTGAGATTGCTTTTTTGCAAAGGGAACTCCACACAGCTTCACTTCTAGGACTTTTTGAGCAACGGGGAGTCTGCAGGACTCTGAAACCCAACCAGTGAGACTGGATTCTCTTTGGACCTCCTTCTCCAGCTATTCTATACGACATTGTAAAGTCCTCTCTCCCACATCAGCTCCCATGATCCTCACCATACCCCCTGGACTTCACACCTCAGGGGTATAGTGCAGAAGGCTAGATGAGACCAGCAGATTGGGCCACCTTCCCAAAATAAAAGATGGAAAAAGGAACCCTTGTGCCGTGAGCTGCCCCACTTCCACACCTGTGTGAAGGTGTCCCCCACACACCTGTGCAGAGTATGCGAGGATGTCCCACACCCGTGCAGAGTGTGTGACAATGGCCCACATCCGTGCAGAGCATGCAAGGATGTCCTATGGCATTTTCAGCTGTCAGATACAGACTCTGACCCTATTCCACCCTTCGTGGGGAGTGAATCCTAACATCCCCTGGAGGTCAGTAGAATGCCCCTCCCTGTTTTCAGGGTGGCTTCTCTTTGATTGGCAAAGCTGAAGTCCAGGCTCTTTGAGCACCAAAACTTGTGGGTCCCTCAATGTGGCCCAGGTTTCCCCTTCCAGGCCCCTCCCTCTGATCATGCCCTTATAGGGGTGCACTGGCTGGCCCTCCAAGGTGTGCTCATCTCTGCTGCCTTATAGTAGCCCCGAAGATGGCCACTGAAAGTGACTGATGCACATGTATATCCTTGGCTGAGTCAGTGCTGTGTGCAGGGATCTCCTGAATGATCTGATTACTTCATCTTCCACTCTCATTTCCAATATCATCATCTGTAACATTAAAGGGGGCCTGCTTGTTGGGGTTTCCATCCTGCCCAGTTCCCCACAGCTGTTTAGCCCCAAAGAAGCTATAAAGCTGATTGGCCCATTAGCTCAGGCTACTTATTAGCTCTTGTAGCTTATATTAACCCATTGTTCTTATCTATGCTAGCCACATGGCTCAGTACCTTTCTCACCGGCCCTCATGTTACAATCATCCTTGCCTCTTTGGTCTTGGTTAGGTTATCTTTACAATGGGAATGATAAAATAATGAGCTGCCTCACTGCCCTGCTCCTAGTGCTCCCAGGAGAAACTCCAGCGAGGTCCCTCAGGGAAATTCGTCTGAGGCCCAAGGGATGTTTACAATGCACTAGCTGCTTACACTCAAGATGGTCAGCTGGGACATGGTTGAGAATGCAAACTGGGCCTAAAGGTCATAATAGATGGAGTCTCAGAGTCCACCACCTGCTCCTGAGTTCGTGAGGAGAAAACCCAGCCTCACATAAAACTGGAACGGGCAGAACATGCTTACATTTTCCCCCCCAACTAATGAAGAGTTGAGCATTTCCCAACTCATTCCTCTCACATCTGCTCGGCCCCAGCCCCTTTCTCTCGGCTCCCCTAGGCTGTTGCTTAGTCCAGCCAAGAGGTGTTAGGAGGATGGCTAGGGGGGTTGCCTTGTGGATACACTCCAGATCACAGTGGTCTGGAGCCAATCTGGAGAGAAGAAAGGTGGCATGAGAGTAGGGTTCCCTGCCCTGTGGATTCTGGGGCCCTCTGGCTGCAGACGCTGTTGCCTTTGGCAGAGCCAGGGCTGCAGAAACGGTGCCTTCTGTTTTGTAACTCCTCAAGATCGGGGCCAGAGGGGAAGGGACCACACACATCCTGAGACCAGGGAGGATCCCCTATGGCTGAGCAGGGCTGGAGCCACCCAGTGCCCCACCTAGAGGCCCTTGCTGGGTGGAGGGCTTGGATAAAGAGCCAATGTTAGGAGACTAGCAGATTGGACACTATGGGGAGAGGCTCAGAGAGGCTGGGTGGGAGCTGTCTGTGTGAGAGGTCCTGGAAGACCCAAGGACCATCTTCATCTCCTGTCCCTTCTAGAGACTGGAAGAAAGACCAAGAAGCTGAGTGCATGTGTGTATGTGCCCCAGCGAGTGAGCCAGTGTGGGGAACGGGGCGTCTCATTACTTGGAGTGAGGGTGTAGAAGAGACCCCATCGTTCCTGGCTCATTGGAAGGGCAGTTGAACATCCTCTGCTCAGTCCCAGCCTCTTCTCAGCCCCAAAGGCCTCGTCTCTGGAGATTAAGTTCAGGTCGGGAAAAGAGGGCACATGTTTTTGCGCCAATCTTGCTCCCCTTCTGTATCCCCACTCACGCTTCCTTCAGGTCCTGCCTCTAAGATGGGATGGGTTGACCCCTAAGACCCACTGCAGTCTCCCTACCAGGGCCTTTCAGGCACTGTACCATCTCATCCAGCTCGTGGGAGCTTGCTTGTTTCTCAGGCTCTCAGTGGGTCTCCTCCATGCTGGGATTATACCCATCTTCCTGGAGGCTTCATTTTCCAAATTTCACTTTAAAGAGAAATAAACACCACCCCATCTGACTTACTTTCTCTTCTTCCTTTATGTCCTTTTCCTTCCCGCCACTCCCTCCTCCCCTCCCCCATTCTTTATTTTGGTTAAACATCCAGACAGCTAAAAAGCATCAGGAAAACCAGTTGACATAAACTTATGGCCAGTTAGGACTGTGTTGAAAGCAGCGTGCAAAATTACAGGGCATATATGTGAGGGGGAAAAAGCCAAAGGATTCTGTGTAAACAAACACTTTGCAATTTGGTTTTATGAAAAGGATTTTTCTCATTACACAAAGAATGCAAATGCGTCTTAGAAAATCTCAGAAAATCCCTTCCAGCCTGGGTCTCACGATGCCTCTCTGCCCTGGAGCCACCCTCCTGTGCAGGCCCTGAGGATGGCCTTCCAATCACACAGTTAAGCGGGTCAGAATGTGCTGGTGGAGGCCTCGCGGCTGTGCAAACGCCATGGCTGGATCCCTTCAGGGGAAAGGATTTCCCAAGTCCAGAGCTCAAGACCTTGCTTCAGCCTTGGGGGATCAGATAGGCATAAGTCCCGGGGTCAAGAGTTGTTCGTTAAGACTCACCGAGACTGCTCACCCGCTAGGTTCCCTGGGAGATGAATTCCTGCCTCAGCCCACTGTGGAAATAGGGTGCCTTCCCACCTCCTCCGCTGACCCTAAAACTCTCAATGCACCTGTGCTTGTAATTTCCCTTATGCAATTGTCTGACCCTCCCAAGCTGCTGATGGCTTCCTTAGAGGTTCTCAAGCTCCTGGCGCTACTAACCTTTAATACAGTTCCTTCATGTGTGGTGACCCCCCCCTCCCCAGCCATAAAATTCTATTTGTTGCTACTTTATTACTGTCCTTTTGCTCCTGTTATGAATCGTAATGTAAATAGCTGTGTTTTCTGACTATCTTAGATGACTTCGTGAAAGGGTCATGTGACCCCAAAGTGGGTCACAATCCACAGGTTGAGAACCTGTCAGAAGCTGTCTGTAGTCACCATGTGGGTAGTAGCATTTCCTTCAAGTGCTGTCCAGCATGGCCATGCTGTCTCTGGCCTATGGCTCCAGCCCCACAGAGAGCTGCTAAGGGAACAGCTGAAAACTGGCCAGGGCTTGGCCTTCTAGCACTGAACAGGGAGAGGCTGGAGCTGGAGGGGTCCTGCACCTGGACGGTGCACCTCGTTCCTGCAGATGTAGAAAAGACCACACTCCAGGCTGGGGGTCCTGCGGGCGGGCACCTGGATCCACCCTTTGTTTGTTTTCTGCATAGTTGACTGGGTGTCTCCTTCCTCTGCGCACTACCCAGTGTCTCCACGGCTCCAGGACAGGATGGACAACAAAGCCATGTACATGCACACCGTCAATGACCGGGACAGCGGCTCCATCTTCGAGGAGCCCTTTGACGGCAGGAGCCTGTCCAAGCTGAACCTATGCGAGGATGGTGAGTACTTAAAGCTGTCAAGGACCCTTGCTTACCACCCCCCCCCCGTCCCCACCTTGGTTATCCCAGTGCCTGCTCGCCTTCCTGTCTAGCTTAGCAGATGCTGAATATTAGATCTTTGGAGGTCCCTTCTGTGGGGTTTCTATCATTCATCTCAATAAGCCTATGTCATCGGCAAGGTGAGGACCTGTTTTACAGATGGACTTGTTGAGACTGAGAACAACATTAAGGATTCTATGACTCACCAGCCCCTCAGAGGGGATCCAGCATAGAATATCCTTGCTCCTCAGACTGGAGACCGAGGAACAAGGGCATTTTAACAGCTCCATATCCCTGTGCACCAGCAAGCAGGCATTCAGTAGATGTCTGTACTGTCCCCGAGGACTGTCCCTAATAAAAGCTTGCTTCATGCACAGATCCATTCTTCACGGGGCTTGAGTGGAACAGGAGGACACTGTCCCTTCAAACTGACTGCCTAGAGACAGTCCCTCATCCCTGCTTAATCCCCAGAACAGTACTTGATTTTGGAACACCCTGTCAGTCGCCTCTCTCAGGAGCTATGGCTCTTGCCTTTTTCCTCATGGGAGCAGATGTAGGACAGGAAGCCGTGTCAGAGAGGAAAGAGGGGACCGCCCTAGTGGAGGGACAGACAGGGGGACCTGAGTTTCTGAGCAAGGGTTCCTCAACCCTCCTGTGGGGCGCTCAGCTCTTTGCCCGGTCTAGTCTGTATGCAAGCTGTCGGGGATGCTCTGGAGGAAACTGGACCAGCGCCTGGCCTCAGATGACTCAGGGTGACTGGTGGGAGGAGGAGCTGGCCCGAGAGCAGTCCCCTCAGGGTGGATGCTGAAGCCAGGCAGGGAAATGGCTCCTGGAAAGGGGCTGAAGGATGACTGTATCATTTTTTCCTCTGTTGTGACAAAATGTTCAACAAAAGCCTAAGGAAGGGAGGGCTGATTTTGGCTCACAGTTTGAGAGTGTCATGCATGGCAGGGTGGCAGGGGCCATATTTCATCCCCAGTCAGGAAGCAGAGAGGGACAAATGGGGGTGCGAAACTCCCTTTTCTCCATCTGATTTACTTGAGACCCCTGATATTTACTTGGGATAGTGCTAGTGAATCTCCCCCTTCATTTAAACATGTCTGAGCATCCTCTTGAACAAACTTAGAGATGTGTCTCCAGGGTGATTCTTAGCCCCAGCAGGTTGTCAATCAAGACAAACCATCACAAAAAATTTTGAAAGAGAAGAGGTGCGAAAAGATTCAGTCAACATGTTCCCAGGACTAGGGAGAGAGAAGGAAGGTGCGCGCGCGCACACACACACACACACACACACGCACGCACGCATTCATGTATGCGTATGCGTGTGTGCTGCCTTGTTCAGGATATCAGCAAGGGTGATGCTGAACCATGCCCCTGATTCAGTTCTATTCTCATTGGCACATTAGGAAGGAGGCCAAGTTTGGCCAGAAAGGACTGGGGTTGAGGGTGGTTGGAGGGAGTCCTCCAAGGTCAACCTGGGACACCAGGCTTAGGGTGGGAGCGAAGCCTGCAGTGGAGTGTCACTGGGGCCACCACCTTTTCTTTCCCCCCTTTCCCATCTCCCTTTCCTGTTTTCTGGATCTCAGATCAAAAACAATTATTCCTTTGGACCAGAGAAACAAAACCAAGCAGTGGGCCCGGCTCTGTGCTTAGTGGCGCCAAGCTGATGCATCTGCCGGAGCATCCATGATAAAGTGATTGATGAGGCTCTCAGCTGTGCTAGTGTTCTAAGGAAGGGTTCCCTGGGCCCCGGTTTCTGGTGCAGTGATGCCAAGAACTGTGGATTCCAGACTGACTCTAGGCCTGTGTCTTCGTCTGCCAGAATGAGACACAGTGGGTATCTCTGAGGTCATTGCATTCGGGGTGTGGTTCTTTAAGTCCAGTCTTGGGGATTGATGCTACCCCCATTTAAAGGCGAGTTGAATCCTGGGCCCTGATTATATGGCCAAGGAACCCAAGCTCTCCTCCTGGGCTGACACTCACCTTCAGGATGGGGTCCCCAGCACTCTCCCTAGTCTCTGCTGCCGAGGATGATGCTCTCTCCAGAGCATATACTGTCCTCACTGCCCTCGGATCAGGCCTCCCAAACTCTGGATTTTGCTCTCCTGCCTTCTGTCCTGCTACCCCTCCCACCTCTGCTCCCAGCTTTCATTGTCCTTACTTCCACAGCCTTTTCTCTCTCCGCACACTTGGCAATATTCACAGTCGTTATACTGTTTCTTCTCTGCTCAGGTGGTAAGATGGAGGCTGAAGGAAGGTTGGCAACTGCTCCAAAGTAGGAGGGCTGCTTTGTTCTCTGATGCCTCCCAGGCCCAGGGGCTAGCACACTCTAAATGTTCACAGGAGAGCCAGCTAAGGAGTAAGTGGATAATAAGAGCACAAGGACCTTGACATCTGAAAGTAGCAAAGCAAATGTCTTTGTACCCCGCTTCTGAGTTCTTTGCATTCCTTTACTCTTTGTCCCCTGCTGGTAGGTTTTGGGGTTGGGGCACAGAAGTGGGGAAACGCAAGACAGCCTGGATCTTTTTTGGAAGGATCCTGATGCTTTTTTGATCTTCTTCTCTGGAGAGTGAAACAGAGGAACAAGAGGAGCAAGGTCAAGAAAGGAAAGAAGAAACTGGAAGGAGGTGGCAAAGGGAGGAAAACCTGGGCCAGGTCCATCTGGGAAGACTTCTATAGATTAAAACTCCAATCCCCTTTGAGGGCGGCCTCCTAAAATGTAGGGTGACGGGATGCTGTGTTTCTTCTTGTTGGAGTCTGATCCCTTGGGTCTTCGCATGGAGCATCTCAAAGCACAGCCCAGCTGTTCAGGTGTGACTCAGATTTTAATGTAGGTGGGACTTAAAGAACTGTGGGTGGGGGCTGGAGAGATGGCTCAGGGGTTAAAAGCACTGGCTGCTCTTCCAGAAGACCGCGGATTCAATTCCCAGCACCCATATGACAGCTCGCAACTGTCTGTAACTCCAGTTGCAGGTGACCCAACACCCTCACACAGACATGCATGCAAGCAAAACACCAATGTACATAAAATTAAAATAATAAATTATTTAAAATATAACATTGGGAGGGAGGCAGAGGCAGGTGGATCTCTTGAGTTTGAGGACAGCCTGGTCTACAGAGTGAGTTCCAGGACAGTCAGAGCTACTCAGAGAAACCCTGTCTAGAAAATGATAATAAAATAAAATAAAATAAAATAGATGAGCACCATGGGTGTAAATACTCACGTTAGACAGAGGTCTGGCCCTGACTGAACACTTCCAGGTTCTTCTGTCTTGGCCTCCTTGCCCATCATTCCCAGCGTGAGCCCATGGGTTCTATCTGTACCGTCCCCTTCTTGCCCACAGTCTTCCCACCCCACACCTACCTGGGCTCCAGCCATCACTTCCAAGTCCCATGGATCCCTTTCCCAGGCACAGCCCTGCTTGGATCTCAGAGCTTGTGGTGCTGGTGTCCAGTCACGGCCACAGAATCCCTGACAGAAGCCACTCACAGGAGAAGAGTTTACTTGGGCTCACCGTTGGAACGGGTCTAGCCCACGGTTGGCTGCATTCCTTGCTTTTGGGTCTGAGGTGAGGCAAAGCATCGTGACAGTGAGAACACAGATAGGGTAGCCCACCTTTTGACTTCATGGTGGCCAGGAAGCAGAGAATAAGTCCAGGACAGGACAAGCTACAGCCCCCGAGCCCTTGGGAGCCTCTCAGTTCTCAAGGATCAGATCTACCATCCGGGAACCAAGGCTTCAACACCTTGAGTCTTTTGGGGGACACAAACCATAACTAATCATTGTATAAAATATAGTGTATTCTGGCTGGCAGGGCTCTTGTGTACGTGTGTGAGTGCGTGTGTGTGTGTGTTTGTGTGCGTGTGTGTCTGTGCATACACTCACGTGTGCGTGTAAAGTTTCTCATCCTTACTGCACTACAAATATCTTGAAGCCAGGGAAGGTGATTGGTTCTTCTGTGGGTCCTCCAGGCACTTTTTAGGCAATGGGTACTTGGGAAATCTCGGGGATAGTCAGCATGTGACTTACCCAAGGCCACTCAAGTAGTTAGTAGCAGACTAAAGCCTGACTCAGGACCTCCCTGCCTATAATTCAGAGGTCCTTCCTGGGAAAGGAATTGGAAAGGGGACTAGTGATTAAGAACTGATCTTCACCTCTAAATTCTGATAGGGAAATTGGCTGGGAGGTGGATGAGAATTAAAACACAGAATCTGCCTTTCACCTGGCAACCCTATCTTCAGGGATATGGCCCGGGCCAGCCACCGGCTTGAGCTGGGCTCACTCAGTGGAGTCCTAGGCAGGCGTTCATGGGAAGACAAGGCTCACCCAGCCAGAAAAATGTGTGGCTGTACTGGTATTGACCCTTGCTTGATTGCCACCCCCTACCCTCCTCACCAGAGCATCAGGGACAAAGGACTCCATCTCATCAAATGAGCCAATGTCTCCGGTACAGGCCGCAAGGCCAAGAGTTCCTGTTATGCAGGCAGAGGTTGGAACTCCACAGCATGAAACAGCATCAGTTCTGGGGGTCGAAGCATTGTGCTGCATGCTGGATTGGGGGGCCCATTGCCCAGGGAGTGTCCTTGGTGCCAAGGAAGGGACCCTCTGCTAACAGCATCTCCCAGGGTCACCTTGCTGCTGACTGTTGCCCCCTTCTTTCCCAACTCTTCTATTTCTCCCCCACCTTTCTCTTTGCTTGCTCCTAGCTTCTGCCTTCTTCGCTCCTTCCCTGCCTTCATTCCTTTTTACTTCACAGTTGCTAAGGGGAGCAGAGGGACTGTGGCACGCCATTGGTCCCCTCCATAGAAGGCCCCCCTTTCTAACACTGGCATCTTCTCACCCTCACATCTGTCCAGCTGCCTACCCTCCAGTGGCCTTGGTAGTTCAGGTCCTCTCTATCTCCGAGGCCCTGTCTTCCTCTCTGTATGTCTTATCGCTCAGCAGCCTCCCTGGAGCCCAC